ATGTAATACAACAGGGATCCCATCACCACATGTTGAGTGGATCCACGATGATACCCTTCAACGGATTGGCAGCTCTTCAGATATTTCATTGAACATAACTGGCAGAAGATCAGGAGGGCAATATTGCTGTGATGCAGATAATGGATTCGGTAGAGATACAGCCTGCACAGCAGTAAATGTCACAGGTATGTATAGAATTACTTGTAGAATTTTGCATGACGCATTGTAACAAACGATGTAACAAATGTATAACATCATCACCTCATGAAGGCTGTGAATAATTGTATTGAAAAAGTGTCACTCAAATATCGAGCTTCAGCACAACTCTACATCTCTGCAATAAGAGTACTATGCTCAAATAAACTCGACTGGCTTGGCTGAGCGTTTAAGACTGATGTAGATGACTAAGGTTAGAATCAAAGTTAATGTTCAATTGTCTTTTTTTCAACAATATATATATAACCTGTCCTCATGGAATGATTCTTACCCAAGTACGTAAAATATACAGTAAATGGCAGGTTACTTGAACTGGGTCATGGGTCGATAACAGATGCAAGGAAGGATGCCATACTATCCGATAGTGTTGAAAACATGCTAAAAAGATGTTGGTAAAGCATAACTGGAATTTTTAAAAAATGTACATTTCAAGTCAGTTCACCTTGTTGCTAAAATAAAAGTTTTTAATGTGTAAATGTAATATATCACAAAGCTAATCAATGCCTGGTTGTTTGACTTCACTGCTCTTTTACCTTTGCTTTCAGAATATGAGCCAGAAAATACAAGACTGGAAGTAAAACATATAAACAGTGGCGATGTCAATATCATTCACATAGAATGCAAAGCTGTTGCTTCGCCTCCTGCCAATCAGTTCATAATGACAATTGATGATAAAGAGTACAATTCGAGTAATGGTGTAATCGAAGTACCAGCTCCAAGCACAGAAAAAATATACCACATAGCTGCGAATTGCATTCCACGCAATAAATATGGACATGGACCAATGAAGAAAGATGTTTTTCGAGTTAACGGTAAGAAAACAGAAGAAAATGAAAATTTTTATGCCAATCAAAAAGAAGAAGGAAAAAAATCTAATATTAAATCGTGTGTGGTCATACATATATTTTGTGTGTTTATTGCTCGCTGAATGCAACGAGTTTGGTTTCATTCTAGCTCCCTCTGAGATTTATCCTCATTTAAGGTAACGTACGAAAAGACAACCCCTTTCCTAAAAAAATAGCAATACGTGTATAAGACACAAAGATACAAAAACAAAAACGCACACACCACACACACAAACAAAATAAATAATTAAGCAATGTAAATAAAATGAAGTTCTCTTTTTGTTTTGTTTTTGCGAGCCAGCTCCTCCAACCTTCATAACTCCACTACCCACGTTGTACAACATGACGGTCAGTGGCATAGCTATGAAATGCGAAACCAAAGGAAGCCCAACTCCAACTATCTCATGGATCAGTGAGGACTCGGGAAATATCGTAAGCACTGGAAAATATTACAACGTCTCTTATGTAAAGTGTGCTACAAAAACGATGACGTTTTTCTGCAACGCAAAGAACGAAATTGGGAACATCCGTAGCCCAGAAATACGTGTTAATGGTAAGGAACTATTTATAAGATATACAACTAAAAACTTTTTGGTATTACTTCCGCTGTGGTATACTTTGGAAAACGTTATAATCACATTTCCAGCAGTGCTTATCGTCTCAGAATCACTCATTAACATGTTCGACCAGTCACATCGCGAGAAGCTCTATATCCAAGTTTAATTATACAATTAATTTAATTATTCAATTATACTAA